GCTGCTGCTTGCTGCTTAATTATTAAGGATTCGTTCTCCTGCTGCTCTAGCTGCTGCAGCAGGGCCCTCTGTGTCTTGGCGCTGCTGTCCTTTTCTCTTGCATGCAGCTGTCTCTCTTTTGCTGCTTGCTGCTGCAGTGTCTCCCTTTCTTGCTGCAGCAGCAGATTCATCCTATCACGCTCTTGCTGCATATTGTCCTTTTCTTGCTGCAGTTGCTGCTGCAGCAACTCCTTCTCCCTCTGTAGCTGCTCCCGCTGCTGCTGCTGCTCCTCACGTAGCTGCTGTGTCTCCTGCTGCAGCTTCTCTAAGGAACGAGTTAGCTGCTGTGTCTCCTCCTCTGCTGCTGCCTTTAATGCCCTTAGCTGCTGCAGTGCTGCTGCTGCTGTCTCCTTTTCTTCTACTGCAGCACGACACTCTGCAGCAAATCTATGTGCTTCCTGTTGTGCTGCTACTGTCTGCTGCTGCAGTGTCTCCACACCTTGCTGCTGCTCTCTTGCTGCTGCTAATAAACTCTGCGTGTGCTGCAGCTGCTGCTCCCTCTCCTCTGCTTCCCCTAATACTTTATTATATTCTTTCTTAAAGAAAGAGGCCATAAGCTCCCTCTCCTGCTGCAGTTGCTGCTCGTGCTGCTGTGTCTGCTGCTGCAGTTGCTGCTCGTGCTGCTGTGTCTGCTGCTGTAACTGCTTCTCTAATTCCTTCTGTCTCCCTTGATGCAGCTGCTGCAGCTCCTCCTCATGCTCCTTACGCTGCTGCTGCATTGCTGCTGCTGCTGTCTCTATTAATTCCTTGTTTTGCTGCTCAAGAGCAGCAACATATTTCTCCATCTCTTCTATCTTTGCTGCAGCAAATCCTATTTCTTCCCGCTGCAGTGCACCATGCTGCTGCTGCTGCTGCTGCTGCTGCTCTTGCTGCAGCAGCAACTGCTGCTGCAGCTCTACACAACGACGCTGCAGCTCCTCATTTAATAACTTATAATGCTCCCTCTCTGCTGCTGCCTTAGGGGAATAAAGGGCAGGGTGTCTCCTTTCTGTCTCCTTAGCAGCAAAAGGAGACACCTTATAGGAGACAGGTGCTGCAGTAGGAGGAGACAGTGCAGCAGGAAGTACACCTTCGGGGTGGTCATAGTCCTGCTGCTGCTGCTGCTGCTGCTGCAGTTGCTGCAACACTACCTGTGCACGCTCCTGCAGCACAGCCTTGGGGAAATTTCCCTTAGAGGCAGCTAATGCTGCTTCCTGCTGCTGCTGCTGCTGCTGCTGCAGTTCCTTCTGAGGGGCAAAGACACAACGGAGACACAAAGACACAGCAGCAAAATAAATTATATATAAGACACAGCAGCAGCAAAGACACATAGAGAGAGACACAGCAGCAGCAAAGACACATAAATACACAGCAGCAGCAAGGACACATAAATAAAAAAAAATAATAAATAAAAAAGGAGACACTTTTGTCTCCTTACCTCTAATTCTTCTATCCTCTTTAATGCTTCCTCTGGAGACGCAGCAGCAGCAGCAGCAGGCGGTGGCGCCTGCTGCAGCAGCAGCTGCGGCTGCTGCTGTGGTTGCTGCTGTTGCAGTGGCTGCTGCAGCACCAGCGGCTTCATGTCTCCTTGTTGCTGCAGCTGTGCAAATAGCTGCTGCTGCTGAGGCAGCAGACCGCTCTGTTGCTGCTGCTGAGGGGGCAGACCATTCTGCTGCTGCTGCTGCAGGGGAGGCAGCAGACCGCTTTGTTTCTGCTGCTGCTCCAGTTGCTGCTGCTGCATCGAGGAAGACAACTGGTCTAGTGGCTGCATGCCTGCTGCAACAGGAGAAGCAGGCACTGCTGCTAGCTGCTGCATTTGCTGCTGCCTACTACGCTCCTCCTGCAGCAGCAGCAGCTGCCTTTGCTGCTCCTCCATTTGTTGCTGCTGCAGACTTTGCTGCTCTAGTTGCTGTTGCTGCTGCTGCAACTGCTGCAGCTGTAGCTGCTGCAGCTGCGATGCATGCGCCTGCTCCTCCATCAGTCTTTGCTTAAGTTGCTCTAACTCCATATGTTCTTGCTGCCGTTGCTGCAGCAGTTGCTGCTGCTGCTGCAGTAGCTGCTGCTGCATCTGCTTCTGCAGCAGTTCTTGCTGCTGCTGCAGCAGCTGCTCATTTGCATGCATTTGTCCCTCTGGGTGTTGACCATCTCCCTCGTGCTGCTGCAGCACGATTTGCTGCTGATCATGGAGTTGCTGCTGCAGCAACAGCAGCTGCTGCCTTTGCTGCTGCACCTCGAAGTCGTGCTGCTCCATGAGCTGCTGCTGCTGATGCAATTCTTCTGCTTGTTTTGCATATTCTGCTGCTCTTTGCTGCTCCTCCTGCAGCAGCTGCTGCTTCTGCTGCTCTAGTTCCTGCCGCTGCAGCTCTAGTAACTCCTGCTGCCTCTCGTGCTCAGCTAGCAGCTGCTGCTGCAGTTGCTGCTGCTGCTGCAGTTCATCTTCTAAGGCTTGCTGCTGCTGTCTATGAGCTTCTTCTAGCTCCTG